CTCTCTATTTAGGTTGATTTCCTCACAAACAGACATGTGACCAGCTATGTTCTTCCACATCCAACTTAATGTAGTCGCAGGCTTACTGCAGCATAAATAGGAATGGAAAATATGTCCTGAATAAAATTAATATATATTTTTTTATTTTTATCCCAAAGTCAGAATGCTTGAGAATTGAAATGTCTTTGTTTCTGCTACCATTTGTAATTGTTTTGCGTCTTGGAAACAGTGCTGCTTGTCACTAAAGAGAGTTTTATTTTGCTATGGTGGACTTTGTTCCCCTTTCCACATGTGTTAAGCTACCTATATTTTATTCAGAATCTTAAACGCTTGCCTGATGACTACACTGACACTTTCCAGATGACTGGTGAATTCTCAGCATTCTCCATTCAGAATTCCAGTTCTAAATCCTAAACATCATATTAAATTTATATATCCTTTTCAACTAGTGTACTTGCATGAAATAATTGCTTTCTAATTAACGTCTGTGTGGATTTTTGGTTTCAGAATATGAAGTTTCCTTTTGTATTTAATATGAGGAAATTTTATTTAGCTTAATACTATTTACTTGCTAGTTTTCTCATTTGAAAATAATGTCTTATATAGTTTCAAAATATCACTTTCATATATATATGTATATATGAATATGTGTGCGTGCGTGCGTGTGTGTGTGTGTGTGTGTGTGTGTATAAACACTTCCAACATCCAGGATTCTAATCTAGAATAACTAAAAATAAAGAAAAATTTAAAATTTATTTTCCAAAGGATTTTGATGCAATTATTTAAGCTACCATTCAAATTTCTGTGTAAATTTTAATTTAAGATAGTTTACCCTAATTGCTGTATCCCAGATTAAATTTTAGATTATTAGATTTTTTGAAATAGTTTTTGATAATTGATGCTTTGAGTTCTTCCTTGTCACTATAATCCATACTTTGAGACGACAACTGCTATTCTATTTAAGTCTATATTATTCCAAAGTGTAACCATATAGAGCTTGATTATTTTCTTTGTTTATTTCTTTAATGTTTTTGGTCTATATCATGTGTGTGAGCACAAGGACAGAATTTGTCAAATATGTGCTCAAAAATACTTGCTTGAATGAATTATCTTTTTGTGTTATAATTCATAGTGTTTCACACAAAATAAGAACTCAATAATTATCAGATGCTTAATAAGATGGTAAAGAGATATTACTAAGGGATTAGCACCTTATTAGTGTTCTTAAGAATCACTGACTACTCTCCATAGTAAGGATTATTTCAACTAATTTCTTTTTTTAAATTTTTTAAATGTTTATTTTTGAGAGACAGGGAGCATGAACGGTGGAAGGGGAGAGAGAGGGAGACACAGAACTCATACCAGGCTCCAGGCTCTGAGCTGTCAGCACAGAGCCCTACGGGGCTTGAACCCACGAAGCGTGAGATCATGACCGGAGACAAAGTAGGATGCTTAACCAACTAAGCCACCTAGGCACCCCTCAACTAATTTCTTTCTAAAGAGAGAATGTGCACATGCACATGAGTGGAAGAGGAGCAGAGAGAGAGAGGAAGACAGAGAATCCCAAACAGGCTCTGTGCCATCAGCACAGAGTTCGACGCTGAGCTCATTCCCAAAAACTGTGAGATCATTACCTGAGCCAAAATCAACAGTCAGACATTTAACCAACTGAGCCACACAGGTGCCCCACAATTATTTTTTGAATGTCTTAAAACAACAAAATGTGAACAATGTGTCTCGTGGTAGGAGACTTGTGGAGGATTACTTTTAATGACGGAAATAAAATATTTTAAAAAGTGATGTTATGTTAAAAAAAAAAAGTCATTGTTTAGTTTAAAATACTGGATTGTTTTTTGTAGGCCAAGTGACAGAAATGTGTCTTCCAGGTCCATAAATATCAATAGGAACTAGAATGAAATTAAGTGTTGTGTTGAAAACGTATGATAGCAAATTCACCATCAAAAAATGTAATCACTGAGTAGTTATTTGTGCTACTTATTTACTATCACTTTTTCTTTGGAATCCATTCCTTCTAAATTATCACCATTAGTGGTAAGAGTAACAATAAAATGGAAAAAAATCTTAGGGTATGTGGATAACAGAAAATGTGATTCTTGTGACTGAGTTCTCACACCAGATCAGTAAATGGCAAAGGGAACTGAGTAAAGAGCCCCAAAGATCACATGGAAGTTAGTTTTAGATAATTCTAGTCCTGTTTCTTCTAATCTGAGAAATATACAGGTAAATCTTAATCTAATAAGATTTCTAATGAGGAATTATCAAAATTTATGACTAAACAACGTCTCCTAAAATATGGAGAAATGATTTATTATATTTCTAAGTACTACATAAAATATCCGTTGAATACCCAAAGTAGTGAAGATGGTAAGCTCATTTTGATGCAGAACCGAAGAAGCCCATTTTGATGCAAAGTTGAAGAAGCCTGTAAATACTCAAAGGCAAACAAAAAAGCGAACATTAAATGTGAATCAGAGAACATTTGAAGGAGCCAAGGAAAATGAAATGGCCACCACTGTCCAATACTGTGCATAATCCACAATATGTACATTTTATAGTATAGTAGGTAACTATGATCTATCACTTCTTCATGAATTAAACATGCTCTAATCATCTTTTCATATGTACTTCTTTTTTTTTTAATATTTTTATTTATTTCTAGGAGAGAGAGAGAGAGACAGCGTGAGCAGGGGAGGGTCAGAGAGAGAAGGAGTCACAGACTGAAACAGGCTCCAGGCTCTGAGCTGGCAGTCAGCACAGAGCCCGACGCGGGGCTCAAACCCACAAACCGCGAGATCATGACCCAAGCGAAAGTCGGACGCTTAACCGACTAAGCCACCCAGGCGCCCCTCATATGTACTTCTGAAAAGATTTCAACCCTTCTCTTTCATGATTAATGAAACAATTGTTACAGTCTCCAAGAAATCCTTAGAGTAATTTCTGCTCTTGCTTTATTTTTCTGATGGATGTCTCATATAGTCAATGAGTCACCAAGTTATATTTGTTTCCTCAATTTGGAAATATCTTTCACTTCCTGCCATGATTCCACTTCCAAGTCTTTATCACAGCACCTTGAAATTATCTTACAGTAAATTATTACATGATCTTATCTCCCATCAAATCCACATTGTATATTTCCACTATATTAAACTTTTTATATGTTTATCATTTGACTTCCCTTCTTAAATATATTCATTGGCTCTAAGCCATGTCCAGAATAAAGTCCTATCAACTATGAATGATTTTCCTAGCTCTTAGAGTTAGGCTCCATACTGGGAGTCTAACCCTGCTACCCAGAACTTACCAAACATGAGCCCTGCATGTCAACTAGATGGTCTTTCCCAGTGTTGCATGGCCTATTTCATTTCAAATTCTTTCCTGTGCTTTTCTCCCTGGCTAGAATTCATCTGCTCTCTTCTCAACATAACTAAATCTAACCGTCCATTAAAGCATAGCTACTGCTTCTCCTTTCCTCCAAGCATTGTGTCTGAAAGCAGGTTTCTTGGTATTGTTTAGTTGTGACAAATTTATTATGTGAATTCTTATGCCCTCTCCAAAATTAAGGTGTGGCTTACATTTTACTCCTCTTATCAATATTCCTAGTACTCTACCTTGTATTTTGTACGTAGTCAGTAAGTTAACTTGAAAAATACAATGAGATCCCCAGCTTAAAAACGGTCACCAAAGGCCCTGTCAACACAGATTTGACAAATATAAAAATTCATTTGTATTAAGTGCTTTGCTTTTTAGATGTAGTTGTGTTCTGACATAGAGTTTAATCTGTTATATAAGTCCCTTACACATTTTATTTTTTAAAAATTGCTAAGAAAATCCTTTGTTCAAAAGTTATATATACACAAATTTCAGCTCAGCCATATATTTTAATTATCACATATTTTGATTTAGCATCAAGTGGATCTGTTTGGTATCAATAATTACTAAGGGATTATGAGTATTCCCAAAAAGGGAGTTAATCAATGTTTTATCTGGAATCAAGGAATAGTAATAAATAATACTGTTATACCAAATTCTTTTCTTATTTTTCCTAGATGGGAACACAAAGACTTAATCCACAAAGAAAAGTGAACCTCATATTCTGTTGAGTTTCACTTCTACTAAAGACTTTCAATTATGTAATACCATAATGAAATAATTATAAAAATGTCAAGATTAACATATTTTAACTCATGATGAACACATTCAACAAAGTCCCTTAGATACAAACCTTTCTGAAAAACATTTGTTTTTAATTGACAAAATTTTCATAAACCAAGGACTGAAGAGGCAAGTAAAGCAAATGAGATAACATTGAATTATGTACCATTATTTTTAATGGCATATTTATGCCAACAGTAACAGAAATGTAGCCATTGTGTTTGTAGTCATACTTCTGACTGTAATGCCATGCCATTTGCACCATGATGATGGGAAAATGGTATTGAAAGAGAAATCCTTTGAACAAATAGATTGAAAGAAACTGCGTGACCCCACAAACAATTACAAGATTATTTATCTTCAAGAAAAGTAAAATTTGTCCTTTGAAAATTCCACAGAATAGTGTTTAATGAAGGGACAGAGTATTGATGGATTAAAGAAACAAAGTGAAATAATTTTAAAATATTCTTATGGTTATATATCTTAATGTATGCCTACTACACCTTGCATGTTTACCTCGGGCCTTTACATACCTATCCGTAGGAAAAGAAGAAAAAATCTGTTTAAGAGGACTTAACTGGGGTGCCTGGGTGGCTCAGTCGGTTAAGTATCTGACGTAGGTTCAGGTTATGATCTTGCAGCTTGTGAGTTCAAGCCCTATGATGGGCTCTGTGCTGACAGTTTGGAGCCTGCAGCCTGCTTCAGATTCTGTGTCTCTATGCCCTTCCCCCTCCTCCTCTTCCTCTTCCTCCTCCTCCTCCTCCTCCTCCTCCTCCTCCTCCTCCTCCTCCTCCTTCTTCTTCTTCTTCTTCTCTCTCTCTCTCTCTCTCGGTCTCCCTCTCAAAAATAAATAAACATTAAAAATAGAGGACTTAACTGATGACAACCCATTTCCAAAATGGGTTTAAAATCCTTCCAAAGTGCTGAGGGAGAACTGTTAAATGGTTAGAAACAAACATACTATGACCACTTCTTTGAATTACAAATTTATATATATATATACTTCTTGCTTTTTCACTGAATGGGCACAACTAATTTAAAAACCAGAAAGATAATACAGTTGCTTTTCAAAGTGGCAAATTATAAAGTGCACTGCCAAAGTGCTATTCTTGTCATCCACAAACATCTACATGCAAGCAGTACTGGGGTTAGAATGTTTCAGAGCAACTAATAGTGTTTGCTAGCAGAACTATATGGAGAAAAATCTTAGAAAAGTAAAAGCACATTTCTCACGAAAACCTTACATAAAAATATCCTCTTATCATTTGATTTATATAGAAACACACTGTAATTTCTTAGTGTATATTCAGATCTGCAGTAAATATTGTGACTGAAAAATGGGGCATGAGGGGAATGCTGAGATATGGTGACCATGAAAATGACTTGTGTAATTAAAATTTTAAAAGAAAAGATCATTACAAGGAATGATATGCACTTACTAGCAAACAGGGTGGAGAGAGAGTAGAGCTGGTAGAAGGGAACAGACATCAATTAAGGTGGAACAGAAAAAGTAGTTATAAACAAATGATCATGAAACTCAGAAGAATAAAATGGGAGTTGACATTGAGTTAGGTAAATTTTAATTAAATTATAGTTAAAACTTTGTCCCAACTATCTCACAATATTGTGAGGCTCAAATATAAGTTGTGAAAGTGCTACATACATAAACTTTAAAATGCTATACTCATGTAAGACAGATTATATTTACTCAAAATGCAAATGAAACCTCTCATTCCAACTCAGGGAGAAGGCAAGGAATGAGCCCGCTGGGACACAGAGGGAGAAAATGTCACTCTGATCCATTCCCAGACTATCTTGGAATCATGGGCTCTATTTTTCACTCAATGAGCTGGCTTTGAATGCAAAGCAAAGATACTGTAATTCAGACAAACGGACCTGGAGGCAACTTTACACAAGATCTATGGAGAAAAATCCTTCTGAATCTGTGGAAGAAAGAGATTGCATTTCCTGCTTTTTATTGTTCATAAACCTTTACTGCCTGCACAAATGTTGAATTATGCTAATTTCTCCTCTTTTAGGAAGGAAATAGAGGGGCAGGAAAAGTGATAAAGATTCCCCAAAAGATGCCAAAACAGAACATTTTACCCTCCAAAACGAACCCCTGGGATAGAAAAATAAGTCTATAATGCAACAGATAGGTAAACATTACAATGACCATTTTACAGCTAGGGAACTGAGGTTTGGTGGTGCTAAATGACTTACTTAAGGCCACTTATTCAACACCGCAAAGTCAATATTTCTGGGTCTAAGTCATATCAAAGCTCTGCCACAACAACATAACCTTCCATCAAAAAAAAAAAAAGAAAAATGAAAGAAAGAAAAGAAAAAAGAAAAAGAAAGTAAAGAAAGAAAGAAAGGAACTAGAAGGATGAGGAGGTGTAAAGAACCAACCCATATTTTTAGGGTTCATTTTTCAAACTCTATTACTAGATTTAGGAAACATTTTGACATTCTGTAAAATTTCAATTGAAATTTTAAAGTTAAATGTCAGTTCTGCATTCTTTGATCATTAACTCTCAATACATTTTCATTACATTAGAAGCACATGCAATAGAAAGAGCACAAAATCATGAAAATACAGAGTTGAAAAAAATCTTAGAAATAACCTATTCAAACCACCTCATTTGAAAATAAGCAAATTAAGGCTCAGATTGGTTAAGTGACTTGCTCAGGGTCACACAACTTGTCAGTTTCAGAGTCAAGATCAGAATTTAAATCTCCAAACTTACAGCCTCGGGATCTTTCCCTTTCCAAACTTGTCAGAAAGGGCTGCATTTAAACATTTAGTCCAGAAAAAGTAATCCATGTGGCAAGGAATTAACAGTTGGTTCATACCAAAAATGAGCTGCCAGTCACTGTGATAAGATCTGTTTCTTTCTGAGAACCATGGTTTCCTGCTGGATTGGAGAATCCAAACTGGGTTTCTTCCTCCCGTCCAAAGAAGTCAGAGTCAGGATGTACATTCCATTCTGCTTTGGTTGGCGTCAGGAGTTCTGAGACACTGTTTTCACAAAGGGTGCTGGAAGGAGTCAGAGCATCCGTGTCCACTGTTAGCTTACTGCTGGGGGTCAAAGCTTGGGGTTCTTGACTCGAGTTTTTCATAGCCAAAGGGCCCAGAGATGCCAATGGCCCCACACTTAGACTTGAGGAATCACCCATACCTAAAGGACTCTGCTGAAAACCAGAGGCTGTCGTTCCAAAAAAGAGAGAGGTATCCAGACTTTGAGGAAGGTCACTGGTGGCCATCAAGGCCCGAGGGTCCACAGCCTGCCCTAAGGAGTTATTATTAATAGCAGGGAGGTTCCCTGCCAGAGTTGAACTCACAGAAGCCACATCAATAGTCAAGATTCCAGAGTTCACCAGTGCTGTGTCCAGCACTGCAGCAGAACTACTGCCAGGCACATCAGAGAAGAGAGACACTAGCTCTGCATCACTGAGATCACTCTGTCCCTGGCTAGTAAGTTCACTGCTGGGGGTAAGAGAATTTGCAGCTTCTAGCTGAGCTAAGAGATCCTGGCAGAGGTTGTGCCTTTTGGCCATGTGGGTCTTCATGCTGTGCTTGGATGTGAAAAGTTTATTACAAGTAGAGACTGGGCAACGGCTTTTCCAAGTGTCCACGTCCTGCAAGTGTTTCTTGGAGTGAATGTAGAGACTACTGCGAGCAGAGAACCTGGCACAGCAGCCTTCCACAGGGCACACAAAAGGCTTTGTGCCCAGGTGGGTTATGCTGTGACCTTTCAGGTGCTCGGCCCTCGTGAAAGATTTCCCACAGCCTTCCACAGGACACATGAACCTCCGGTCATCATCGTGCTTCCTTTTGTGCCTTAAGAGTTTGGACATGCTGGTGAAGTTCCAGCCACAGCCGTCAAAGTCACAAAGGAAAGGTCTCTCACCGGTGTGGCTCCGCAGGTGAATTTTCAGGCGACAAGCCTTGTCGTACTGTTTGCTGCAGCCAGGAAACGAGCAGGAGAAGAGTTCCTGTTCCCTGAAGTGGGCACGGTTATGGGAAAATAGGGCACTCACTGTGATAAATGTCTTCTTGCAGCCGGAAAACGCGCACTGGTAGGGCCTCTCGGGCTCGAAATGGCTGCGTTGGTGGGCGCTGAGTTTGGCCTGTGTAGGGAAGCTCTCCTCGCACACCTCGCACTTGAATGAGTTCTCCTGCTCATGGCCCTTCATGTGTGCCTTGAGGTTATATACTGTGGTGAAGCTCTTGCCACAGCCCTCCGCAGGGCAGCCAAAGGGCCGAAGTTTGTCGTGCGACTGCAGGTGCCTCTTGAGCTTGTAGGAGGTGGTGAAAGTCCAGCCGCAGCCGCCCAGGGGGCACTTGAAGGGCCGCTGGCCCTGGCTGCTGCTGTGAGTCAGCAGGTGCACCTTCAGCTGGTGCTTCTTGGCAAAGGTTTGTCCGCACTGGGCCTCGGGACACAGGTACAGCACCACCCCCGGGCCTGGGCCTAGCGGCCTGCGGGGGCTCTCAGCTGCTGCCCGGCTCTCTGCCTCCTCCTCAGGCGCCGGGGCGGGCGCCGGTTCAGCCGGCTCCGCCAGCAGGAGGTCGGGCGGCAGCTCTGGGCAGTCGCTGGGCTGCGCTGCGTGCAGGACCCCTGCTTGCGGAGCCATCAGACCCCCAGACTGAGGGACAGGCGCGACCCCAGGCTCCCAGGCTGCCGGCGGGGGCGTGGCAAAGGTGAGGACACCATTCTCAAAGCGCAAAAGCAGGTTTTGGTTGCGGATGGTGAAGGTGCTAGAGAAGGCCATGGCTGGTCCCAGGCCTGGGGAGGGAACCGGTACTGGGGCTGGGGCCGGGGCTGGGGCGGGAACCGCAGACTGGCAGCGGGGCCCTAGTGCCTGGCGGCCAAGTGGGTTGCCGCCACTCTCACCCTTCTGGAGCTGTGGGCCCGACTCGGCCTCCTCCTTTCGTACAGGCCCTGAGGCCTGGCGGGCTCCCGAGGTCTCCACATCACCACCCACTGGGTCCAGCAGCACCAGGAAAAAGTCACTGCCACCGCCGCCGCCACAGCCTCCAGCGTAATCTGGCCTCGGCGCCAATGGGCTCGGGCCGGGGCCCCGTGAGGCCGCGCTGGCCTCCTCGCGCCGCCTCCCGGGCCCGCCATCTTGAAGGCCCCGGAGCAGCAGGAGTCGGCGCGCGGGGACCTGGCCAGCCCGCGGGTCGGGGCCTCCGTGGACCCGGTTGCCGCCCGCGGGAATGCCAGCACCGCCGCTCTGTCGCGTCCCTCGAAGCGACAGCAGCCTTGGGCTTTCCATCTCCGCGTCCGTGAGGCTCCGCAGGAACTAGAGCTGCGGAGGAGGCGCGACCCCGCCCCCTGCCGCGGGCCTGAATACGTTCCTGAAAGGGAAAAAAAAGTGCAGTGCGCAAAAATTGGCCCTATCAGATATTAAAACGTGTTTAACGACACAGTGATTTAAATATTCTGGTACTGGGTCTCTGGAACAGAATAGAAAGTCCAGAGGCAGAGCCTGGTGTGCATAAATAAGTTGTATATTCAATATTTGTGGGAAATCAGGGTCTTCCCTCATAACTAGGAAATGACAGTTCATTTGGTATATGTTGCTGGAATACCTAGGAATCTACTAAATGCAATTTAAATTCATACATCACTGTATACACGAAAATAAACACCTCCAGGCCCTCCCAGTGCTAAGTGTGGTCCTCAATATTTTTCCTGTGTTAAAAAATGTTTACCGGGTGGCTGGCTAGCTGGATTTACTAATCCAGTGAGAGAAAATTCCTGGGATAATGCACTATTTGTCAACATTAAATTACCATAGTGCTAGCTAATTCTACAGAAAAAAATTTTTTTTCCTGGACAACTTCCATATCCAGAATTGTCTTGAGCAAGGTCCTCAGGAAAATTTGTCTCATAGTTAATTTTGTTGGCCTGCTGATGCAGAGATTAGAATGAATAAGAAGTGAAGTCAAAATAGATTACCACTGCTCACCCTAGAAGTGCAAAGCCTGAAGATGAAACGATTTATATTGAACCCAACCCACTGTATAGGGTTCTCCTTATACAGTGCACGACCTAAACTCTTTGCTGTTAAACGATGTTAAATTTCATGTACAATCTCACAGCATTCCTCAGCTAATCTAGATTATCCAGCACTTGGAGGTCTCTGGACAGGAGTAGTTGTTAAATATGATAAAGTTAAACACTAAGTCACTGCGATGGAGTTTCCTGAGACAAATGCACAGATGACCATGTTCAATAGTCCTGCTGTGCCTGCTTGCATTTCAGTGTGGTGGTCCTGTCTCACTGTAATGTATTTGGCTTGTGATGCCTAATGATTGTATTAATGATGATGCTATTACTCATACCACAGCAGGCAGCATGAACTTCTATACACTGGTTACCCTAGGTTCCCAAGTCCCATGCTAGTGATAAGAAGCATTGCAGGTAGATGATAGGCAGACTGTGAATCTGCATTACAGTGTAGGAAACTCCACTGTTTTAAAGGGACTTTTAGCTTTTTCAAATTTCATATTCCTGAATAGCATACAAATATGCTCTCTGTCCCAAAGGGAAATACAATCTCTACTTTCATCCAAGGCCATTTGTTATACACATAGCAATGAAAAATAGTTTGGAACAAAAGCCATTAATATTAATACCTTGACTTGTAACTTATATTGAGGAGAGATTTTTTTTCTTTCATAGTTTATTGTCATGTTGGTTTTCATATAACACCCAGTGCTCATCCCAGCAAGTGCCCTCCTCCATGCCCATCATCCCCTTTCCTCTCTCCCCCACCAGCATCAGCCCTCAGTTTGTTCTCAGCATTCAAGAGTCTCTCATGGTTTGCCTCTCTCCCTTTCCCCAACTATTTTTCCCCTTCTCCTCCCCCATGGTCCTCCATTAAGTTTCTCCTAATCCTCCTATACATGCAAACATATGGTAACTGTCCTTCTCTGCCTGACTTATTTCGCTCAGCATAACACCCTCGAGTTCCATCCACATTGCTACACATGGCCAGATTTCATTTTTTCTCATTGCCATGTAGTATTCCATTGTATAGATAAACCATATCTTCTTGATCCATTCATCAGTTGATGGACACTTAGGCTCTTTCCATGATTTGACTTTTGTTGAGAGTGCTGCTATGAACATTGGGGTACATGTGCCCCTGTGCATCAGCACTCCTGTATCAGTGGGTAAATTCCTAGCAGTGCTATTGCAGGGTCATTGGGAAGTGCTATTGTTAATTTTTTGAGGAATCTCCACACTGTTTTCAAGAGGGGCTGCACCAATTTACACTCCCATCAGGAGTGCAGGAGGGTGCTTGTTTCTCCGCATCCCTGCCAGCATCTATAGTGAGGAAAGACATTTTAATTTAAAACAAAAACTTTTTTTTTCTTTTGGTGTGCCTGTATTTCATAGAATGAGATATCAGTAAATCAAGAGAAAATATTTTAAAAGCTGGTCATCCTTGTAGTTTTGTACTCTCTTCCTAGTACTACCAATGTTTTTAGCATATTCACCTCATGGGCTCAGAAACCACATGAGACAAATTAGCTCACATCTTTCTCTTCACACATATGACTGGATTGGCTTCTTATCCCAGTCATTCTGAGACATTATACACAAGGACTTATGTATGAACAGGGATTTTGTCTTGTAAATGCTGGTTGGACCTGCTGCCTGGTCCAGCTCTCTTAACTGCCACTCTGGCAATGGTGAGATATAAATGTGAAATCTGAAACTTTTTAAAAGTTTTTATTTTAATTTAAATTGTTTAATATACAGTGTTATATTTTTTCTTTCATAATATAAAATATAGTGGTTCAACCATTCCATACATCACCCAATGATCATCAGCTCATCAGGACAAGTGCACTCCCCATCAATTATTTAACCAACATCCCTCCACTGCCTCCCCACTGGTAACCATCACTTTGTCCCCTACAATTAAAAGTCTGTTTCTTGATTTGTCTTCATCTCTCTGTTTTTCACCTTTGCTCCTTTGTTTTGTTTCTTAAATTCCACATATGAATGAAATAATATGATATTTGTCTTTGTCTGTCTGACTTATTTCACTTAGCACTATACTCTGTAGCTCCATGGTGTTGCAAATGGCAAGATTTCTTTTTTATGGCTGAATAATATTCCGTTGTGTATATATACATCTTATTTATCCATTTATCATTTGAAGGACATTAGGCTGCTTCCATAATTTGGCTATTGTAAATAGCTCTTTTTTATATCTGACTCGGGTGTCTTATATCTTCTTCCAACATCTGTGAAACTATGTCAGACCAAATTGTTAGCTTACAAATGGCATAAAAACTTGCACCTTTCATAGTTCTTGACACACAGTTGCCAAAAAGGATATCGTCCAAAGTGCTAATAACATCTCCAAATTCTAACTGTAGTGGATATACACAACCAGTGCATGTTTAGACATCCTACTCTCAGATGGATACCAGCCAACGCTGGGGATATTGTTCTTACATAACATTGAGGATTTTTTTGATTTCTCAGGAAACATAATATTTGCTAGAATGTTTGCCTCCTACATGTTTCCAATGAGCACATATACTGCTTCTCACTCATACATTATTTTCTTTTCACTGGCTCATATGCTGTTTGTGGCCCAAGAGTCCACAAATGAGTCTTTTTCTTATTTTTTTTTTTACAGAAAATCAACCAGTCACACACAACTATCTGTTGCACTTTTTAGAACCACCAGTCCTTAAAAATCAAGTTTTAAAGGCAAAAGACAAATTATTATGCTGGATAAAAATTGTTTTACCATCATTTAATAATTTCCTATAGACAGCAAATAGATAGATTTTTTTATCCATTCTGCTGGCGAGGATGTGGAGAAATGAGCACCCTCCTACACTGTTGGTGGGAATGTAAACTGGTGCAGCCCCTCTAGAAAAGTGTGGAGGTTCCTCAGGAAACTAACAATAGAACTCTCCTATGACCCAGCAATAGCACTGCTAGGAATTTACCCATTGATACAGGAGTGCTGATGCATAAGGGCATATGTACCCCAATGTTCATAGCAGCACTCTCAACAAAAGCCAAATCATGGAAAGAGCCTAAGTGTCTGTCAACTGATGAATGGATCAAGAAGTTGTGGTTTATCTATACCATGGAATACTACATGGCAATGAGAAAGAATAAAATCTGGCCATGTGTAGCAACATGGATGGACCTCGAGGGTGTTATGCTGAGCAAAATAAGTCATGCAGAGAAGGACAGATACCATATGTTTGCACGTATAGGATTAGGAGGAACTTAATGGGGGGCCATGGGGGAGAAGAAGGGGAAAATAGTGGGGGAGAGGGAGGGAGGGAAACCATGAGAGACTCTTGAATGCTGAGAACAAACTGAGGGCAGATGGAGTGGGGAGAGAGTAGAAGGGGGGTGATGGGCATGGATGAGGGCACTTGCTGGGGTGAGCACTGGGTGTTATATGGAAATCAACTTGACAATAAACTATTTAAAATAAAAAAAAATAATTTCCTATATTAGGCTCTCAATATGTGTAGTTATATAGGTGTCTAGTCATATGCTTATAATACTTACATTACACAGATTCAAAATATGAACCACAATACCAAGGTTGTTCAAACAAATACATATGGATCCATTAAAAAAAAGCATAAACTTGTTTTATTTTTCACAGGTACTTCCTCTAATTTTTTATAAGTCAGTTGCTTCATTTAAAATTATCTCCATTACTTCTGTAAGCACTTCCATCATATCATCTCTATATTTCAGAAATGCTTCAGAAAATTTCTTACACTCTGGTGAACTTATATGATTATGACAAATCATGATCCTGAAGATTTTACTTAGTCTTTACAATGATAATAAATTTAAAACACAAGCAATGAGGTGGAGTTTTCAGAGTCTAGAAAAATTTTATTTAAAAACTTAATGAAAATTCCAGAGGTATAAATGTTTGCTTTAAAGAAACCAATTTATACTAAAAATAATTCTCCAAAACTGGGCTGCCATGTTTTATGAAATTTTAATTTCCTAGATTGAATACCCATAATATTAAGTGAAATGGCATAAGGATGACTTTTGTTCATTAAAGGCAGAGTATATAGCCTACAGATCGTGGTCCCTTAAACCAAACTGTCTCAACTACTGACTGCCACATAAGACAAAAATCTAGTCACATAAGAGGGGTGATTGCAGCATAGAGAATATTAATTTCTATTTTCATGTGCAATGATTTGTTGATCACTCCTGTAAGAGATGAGTTTTTTCTATTTTTTGTCTAAATTATGAGCCTCTTTACTG